CAGATGCAGAAGCAAGAAGAATATTTAGAAACGTTCACACGGTAAGACGAGGGTTTAGGGTTTAGGGTTTTGGGATTAGGGTTTAGGGTTTAGGGTTTTGGGGGGTGAGGGTTTAGGGTATAGGGTTTAGGGTTTGGGGGGTGAGGAGGCAGAAGCAAGAAGAATATTTAGAAACGTCCACACAGTAAGATAAGGGTTTAGGGTTTAGTGTTTTAGTGTTTTAGGGTTTAGGGTTTAGGGTTTAGGGTTTAGGGTTTGTCTCCTCAGGAGCACTACTGGGAGACAGCACAAAAATTCAGAGACACGCGGATCGACTACTAACACAAGCAGCAGCAGCAGCAGCAACAGCAGCAGCAGCAGCAACAGCAACAGCAGCAGCAGCAGCAACAGCAACAGCAGCAGCAGCAGCAACAGCAACAGCAGCAGCAGCAGTAGGTGCGGCAGCAGCAGCAGCAGCAACAGCAACAGCAACTGCAGCAGCAGCGGTTACAGTAGCAGCTGCAGCAGCTGCTCCAGTAGCAGCAGCAGCAGCAGCTGCAGCAGCAGCAGCAGCAGAGGCTGCAGCAGTTACTGTGAAGAAGGGTTTGCTTTTGCTGCTTGGATTTGTTGAGTTGCAACAAACCGAAAAACTATTTTAGGGTTTAGGGTTTAGGGTTTAGGGTTTAGCAAACCCTAAACCCTAAACCCTAAACCCTGAAAGCAGCTGAAGGGATATATTATTTATATTGTTAATATAATAAAAAGCGACAGGGGCTGAACCCCACAAACCCTAAACCCTAAACCCTAAACCCTCAGTAGACAGCCCCGGCATCTCCCCCCTAAACCCTAGCAAACCCTAAACCCTAGCAAACCCTAAACCCTAGCAAACCCTAAACCCTTGAAAATGTTAAATCCTAGCAAAACGTAAACCACAGCATACCCTAAAAACCCTTATAAACGCTAAACCCTTATAAACCCTAAACCCTTGTAAACCCTAAACCCTAAACCNACCCTAAAAACCCTTATAAACGCTAAACCCTTATAAACCCTAAACCCTTGTAAACCCTAAACCCTAAACCCTAAACCCTAAGCACATGTAGTCTGGTTGTAAAGCAAGTCGAGGCAGTATAGCTGGAGCGCAAGCAGCAAACCTTGCTGCTCGTGCTGCAGCTTCTAGGGCCTGCTGCGGCTGCTGCAGCAGCAGCAGCACCTGCGCATACACCGCAATTGCTGCAGCTTCCTGAGCCCAGTCAGTGGATGTATCTATACATAGATCATTGCTGCTGCATGCAGCAGCAAGAGTTTCTGCTGCTGCTGCTGCTGCTCCCAGCTGCAGCAGCAAACGACCCTCCAGCAGCAACGCGTTTCTATGGTGCGGCTGCTTCTGTCTGAACTGCAGCAGATCCCTCCGCAGCTCTTCTTTGTTGCTGCAGCAGCAGCAACAGGAGATACTGCTGCTGCTGCTGCTGCTACAGCTGCTGCTGCAGCAGCTGCTGCAGCAACTGCTGCTGCTGCTGCTGCTGCGCTGCAGCAGCAAATCCTCCTGGGGTTTAAGAGAGAAAAAACGAATCCGCAGCAGCAGAAACTCAATCTCTACGCCCCATGCTGCGACGTGCTGCAGCAGCAAGTCGTATACAGACGGCCCCGCAGCACCGCTGCTGCTGCTGCTGCTGCTGCTGTTGCTGCTGCTGCTGCTGCTGCTGCTGCTGNTGCTGCTGCTGCTGCTGCTGCTGCTGCTGGGGGTTGCTGTGAGAGGCTCGCTAGGCAAAGCACCAGCCCGCAGGAACGCTTCTAGTGCTGCAGCATGAGCAGCAGCAGCAGCAGCAGCACGCCACGCCAGCAGCGGCTGCTGCAGCTGCAGCAGCGCAGCAGCAATCCCGGCCCAGCATTCAACTTCAGCAAAAGCAAGGTGTATAGACACCAGAGTATCACTGGAGTGAAACAAACTGCTGCTGCTGCTGCTGCTGCTATTGCTGCTGCTGCTGCTGCTGCTGCTGCTGCTGCTGCTGCTGCTGCTGTGCAGCTGACAGTGCAAGTTTGCTGCTGCTGCTTCCAGCCGCCCCCCATCCAAATTCCGCAGCGCAGCGCCGATTGCCTGCATCGCCTTCAGGGCGCAGGGGAGCCTAGCGATTGCTGCTGCTGTTCCCTTGCTGCTGCTGCTGCTGGAGGAGGCAGCAGCTCACTCTCAAATGCTTCATACGAAGATACTATACACACGTCGCANCTGCTGCTGCTGGAGGAGGCAGCAGCTCACTCTCAAATGCTTCATACGAAGATACTATACACACGTCGCATGCAGCTGCTGCAGCAATCCCGCTGCTGCTGCTGCTGCTGCTGCTGCTGCTGCTGATAGGCGTATGGGTACAGAAGCGCGTTGGCCGTTGGGCTTCTGCCAGCCCTCCCTGCTGCTGCTGCTGCTGCTGCTGTTGCTGCTGCTGC